CGGCCCGGAAGGTGGGTGCATGGCCCCGCTCTCCTTCCTCCCACTCGCTGGCTCCCAACCTGTGGGCGCGGCCCTCCTCCTCGGCCTTGCCCTCGCACATCCGCCCGGCAGCCGAACCAGCCCAGGCCGCTAGGGCCCCGAGAAAGGGACTAATTGTAAGGCTTGAGACAGTTCGGCCTCCACTCTTTTAGGGCTGTTGCCCGGTCCTAAAGAGCTCCCCGAGGTGTGCACAGACAACATGCCTACAGGTGCGGGAACCCAAGTACGACTGCGGTTTATGCAGGGCCCTGCCCTAGTTCACCCCTCAGATCTGCCTCTAAGTAATCAGGTGGCCTCTGTAAGTCCTCTTGGCCTCAGTTTCCCCATTTGTAAAATGGGAATAATATCTTCCCCACATACCTCATTCTCTGAAGATCAGTGGAAACAATGAGACCATGTAAATGTGATCTGAGAAGCCATTAAATGCAATCCAGGTGAAGAGTATTGTTATTATTTGTGCATTCGTTATTATTAACATCCTGCTGTGGCCACAGGAAATACCTGTGCATAAGGCCACAAATGGATGCACCAGTGCATGGAACATAAGGCCCCAATCACAGTTCTCTCTGAGTTTGGGACACATCTCTCCCAACCCTCCTAATTTTGCTGCTGTTAAGCTACACATGGGGTAAATAAACATCCATAGGCTAGTCTGCTATTGAAGTAGTGCTTCAGGCTAACTTATGCAAAAGCGTACTTAATTTACAGCATGCCTGGACCAGAGCAGAGCAAAACTGAGAGCCCTTTCCTGGGGAGGGGGACCATGTGGGGCAGTGGGGAGAAGGCAGAGGGGACCACCTTCCTCCTTTGTAATAATCGTGTCTCCAGACAGAACTTCTGCTCCCCTGTCCTTTAAAAAAAAGAAAATTCTGTAAATATATAGAAGTTGTAGCATCACCTGCATTTTATTTTAAACCTTGGAACCCAATCCTTGGTGCAGTGGCAACTCAGTGCCTTCAGTCACCACTAATACCACATATTCACTCATTTCCAACACATGTTGAGGTTTTCAGACGTTCTCAAGTTCCTCCAACTCACTCAACATTTTGAACTTCTCCCACCCCTTAGAACTGCTGGGGGCAAAGGAGGACAGAGACCTCCTTCGTCTTCCCGAAGTTCACCATCAAGCAGGGGGACAGATATCTACAAATGTCACAGTGCCTAGTGAGTGCCACATGGACGCGCACACAACGTGCTGCATGTTCAAGGTGAGGAGCAGGTGACCAACTTCCTGAAGGTGTCTGGGAAGGTTTCTTAAAGAGGTGGCATTTGATCTGGGGCCTTGAAGGATAGGGCAGAGTTTTCCAGGTGGGAGAAATAGGCTACTACATAGTAATGATAAGAATCCCTGTGACCACCCCAAACAACAAAAATGACAGTGATGATGATAGTACTTTTAATCTGTGGTAGGCGTTGTAACCGGCCCTTCACACTAAACTGCTACCTTTGCTCTGTCATAATAACTCTGGGTATTATATACTCCACTTCATCGACTCAAAGAGATCCAATAGCTTGCCCAGGTCACACAACCATCCTATTGACACTAGATGAGGTAGAATGCCTCTCCCCTTCACCCCATCATTCCAAGACTGACTTTGAAAAGAGGCTAATTTGCCTTTTACAAAGATCACAGACCCCCTTTTCAATGTCTCCTCATTCATTCAACTGTTTTCTGCCCATCTACTAGGTATCAGGCATTGGGCTGGCATCAGGGGTACTAAAAATAAGAGGTAGACCCTGACCTTGGGGAGCTCACAGTTTCTAGTGAGGCAGGAAGACCTATAAGTTAATCAACCACAAAGCAATGTGCAAGATGCAGGTCTGGGTAGCCCAAGATGCCCTGGGCCAACAGGAAGGGGTCAAGCTCAGATATTGCCCAGCTCAGCAAGAACTGAGTCTAGGCAAAAGGAAGAGTTTACCAGTCAAGGGGGTGGGGCATGGAGTTCCAGGCAGATGGCACAGCAACTTCAGAAGAGCAGAGATAAGGGAAAGTGTGACCCTCTGGTATGTGGTGTCTGAGGAAAGTGAGGAGGTGGAGAAGGAAGGAAGCCCTACAGGTTGCCAGGAGTCAGGTTGCATCATGTCCATTGGACATGCCCAGGAAAGAGGCTTGAACTTGACGCTTGGTGTATTATTTTCATGAAGTAAAATCAGGTCAAATAAGGGATTCCTCCTTCCTTCATATAGGATCTCAAATTTAAAGGGATTTTTCAATGTCTTATAAAAATTAGGAAGTTCTTTTGTGTTGTTGTTGTTGTTGTTGTTGTTGTTGTTGTTGTTGTTGTTGTTTGTATGAGTCATCAGCCCAAGAGGCCAGCAGCCCTATGTCACTTAACTCATAAGTGATTTCACTGAAATTTGACACTATTTGCTTCCCGTTACAATGTCTGTCTCCCCCAACATTGCTAGGATTTGTTTAGCTCATTCCGCACAGTGGGAATCCCTGAACCCACACGTTGGTCCACATGTTGGCATGGTGGCAGCTGGGGGCACAATGGCAGTGGCTGGGTTACTTCCCACTTGTTTCCTTGCACTGTCCTGGCTCACACCTCCCTTTGATTTCAGGACTCTCAACAGACACTACTTTATCTCATCCTTGAAGAACATCTTTGTGGGGATGGAGGACAGACACTTCCAGGAGGTAGCTTTGGGCTACTTCTTTAAGAAAGAATTTTCTAATCATTAGAGCTGCCTGAACCCAAAAAGCCTGTCTTAGGAGGGAGTGAGTCTCCTGCCCTGCAGGTGTTCAAACAGGATCCCCAAAATGGGACAATTGTGGGGAGCGGTGAAATCCTTGGCCTCTGCAATCATTTGCAAGCCAAAGGCCCTAAGAAGTTCATCCCCAGAAGAGAATGTTTTCAGGCACTCTCAAGGGGGTTATTTTGACCAAGAAAGTAAAAAAAAAGAAAGAAGGAAGAAAGGAAGAAAGAAAGAAGAAAAGGAGAAGAAGGAAGGAAGAAGGAAGAAGGAAGGAAGGAAGGAAGAAAGAAAGGAAGGAAGGAAGGGAAGGAAGAAAAGAAAAAAGAAAAAAGAAAAGAAAAGAAAAGAAAAAGAAAAGAAAAGAAAAGAAAATTCAGGGTGGACATAGGGATCCCTTATCATGGGGAGGGACACCAAGGACAGAGGCTGCCCTAGGTTCCCCCCAACAAAGGGCTTCTCCACAGCTGTTCCAGCCTCCCCTAGTGATCTCCCTTCCCCTACTGCCAAGCCCACAGGCTCTCCAGGGGACCCACATCTTCTCACTGTGCTTCTAAAAACTGAACACAGATCTAGCAAGGAGCAGGCAGAGGGAGGAAGATGACATGGTTTGTAGATGTAGGGCATTTGGGATGTCACCATAAAGTACACTGTCAGCCCCAACACCTTTGATGTGGAGGTTTAATCCTGGACAGTCCCTAAGGGAATTAGTGCCTCACTCATTGCTGTGCCCTCTGTGCTAAGTGTAAAGACTGGTAAAGAGAAAGCTCATGAGAAGCATCTTTCTTTTTTCCTTCCTTCCAAGAAAAGATACATGCAAAAATTGTAAACTACACAGAAAATATAGAGAAGAAAGATAAAAATAATGCCCACATAGGTCAGACAACCACTGTCACTATCTTAGTGACCATCCTACCAGACAACTCTTTCTGCCTCTAAATAAACATAAACACCGTGTATCATATGATGTAAACAAGATCAAACTCTATATTCTATTCTGTAATCTGCCATTTCCATTAAAAAAATCATAAATTACATTGTTGCAACGAATATAGAGCTACGTGATTTTTGTATTAGTTGCATTATATTGTACTGTATGAAGTAATGAGCCAGTCTTCGGTTGATAAGCATTTAGATTATTTCCAGTTTTGCACTACTTGAAATACCCTGAGATGAATATATTTGTGGACAGATCTTTTCACACTTGTACAGTTTATCTCCTCAGGATAAGTTCTTAAAAATGGAAGCATTGGGTCAAAAAAAAAATACACATTTTACATTTGGGGACACATTGTCACACCACCTTCTCAAAAGGTTGTACCACTTTATATTCTTACCCAAAGAGGTTGTCATTAGTCCTTTACCATTTGCTTAAATGAATGGGCTCTTTCTTCAAAGACAAAATCCCTAATTCTTCAGACCAGTTTCCCTCTCTCTCTCTCTCTCTCTCTGTGTGTGTGTGTGTGTGTGTGATTATGAAGGTCTAGGTAAACCTTGTATACAAGTGTGATTCTGTATATAATGCGTTCTGTATATAATCTCTACTCACAACTTGAAGTCCTACATGAAAATTCTCAAAAAAGCATTATCCTTCTAAATCCTCCCCTGTCACCTCACTGCAGGAATAAGATCTGTTTCAGCCTCCTGAGCCCAAGATATTCACCCATTGTCAGTCTTGCCACTACCTGCCGCTGAAGCCTCCTGGCCAAGGTTAGGGAGACGGTAGAAGGGAGGCTAGACTGGATTTGTCCACAGTGGACCTTCAAGTGTTAATCCAGACTCTTCTCAGGAGGTGTCCCTGACACCACAGCTGAGGAGCATAAGACTGTGGGTCTATATCTCTGTGTAGCGGAAACAGTGAGCAGGTCATCCCAAATCAGTAAGTCTGAGAAGGCTGTAGATCACTCTAGAGGGTCCCGTAGGATAGGAAAGGTGGGAGGGTGATATGGCTCAGCCTCTTCCCGCATGTGGTGCCTATTTTATAGATCTCTACCACTCCTCTCTGCTTATTAGCCCATAATCAGTCTCCTCCACATATATCACCTCTGCACTCACACATTCACATGTAATCCACAACCCATATCCTTCCCTTACAACCATGCTCACATTCTCATAAAATTCGACTATAATAATTTTCATACCATTATAATAACATCCTTGCATACAATACATGCATAGAATTTGATGCTTACACACACCCACTTACACAGACACACCCAGTCACCAGTATTCACTCTACATAGTCTCACATTGTCATACTTTGTCTTAAGGAAGTGTAGTCACAAGTCCCTCCTCGTCATTGTCATTGTGTTATTCCAACCACAACTGCATACCCTACAGCCCCACCCAACACTCCTTTCAAACACTCTCAGAGTCCCACAGAATTCACAGTCATACTTCCACATCTTACTCAAGTCTCTTGAACAGGTACAGTTACCCAGAGATTCTTATAATGTCATAACTCAACCAGTCTACTCTCCTTATTTTATTGGTAGGTTAACTGAGACTCTGAGAAGAGAAGCTTGACTAAGGTCAACAATTAGTTAATAGCAAATCTAGGGTGTCAACTCCAATCTCATGACCCCCACCCTAGTGCTCTTTTTCCTATGCCAAAGCCCCTCCCTCTTAGGCTCCCTTTCATCCCCTTCGCTAGTTCCCCATACTGACTCTTAGAAACATTCATATAAAACAGACAGCTCTTGAAGAAGCAGGCAGCCAGGTGAATGGAATAAGTATGAATCTGGAATACAAAAAAGCCTGAATTGGAATATCAAATACCTTATAGGGTGGTGACAGGGTTCAGAGAGAATATATGTAAAGCACCTGGCACAAAGTAATGACTGCTAACATTTATTGGGCACTTACTATGTGCTAGACACTATGCCAAGCACTTTATACATTATCTCATTTAATCTTTACAATCTCTTTAAGTATGATTATCTCCCTATCACAGAAAAAGGAAGTAAGTCCTGGAGAGGTTAAGTTGCTGGCCCGAGGTGACTCAGCTAGTGGGTTTTGAGAGCAAGATTATACCCTGCTCTGACTCCAAGTCTGGTCTTCACAAATCATATTGTGCTTCTTCCCTTGAGAACAAAGATCATTCTTCTTTAAAAAAAATTTTTAGGGGGGAGGTAATTAGGTTTGTTTGTTTATTTATCTAATGGAAGTACTAGGATTGAGCCCAGGAACTCATATATGCTAAGCATGCATTCTACCACTGAGCTAGCTATACCCTCCCCATAACAAAGGCCATTCTTTATTAAATTCTTATTCTGTCCCAGACACTGTGCTATGTATACATAGTTTCTATGTATCTTTACAGATAAGGAGACTGGGGCTTGGCAGGTGCTCAATGGATGGTTTTATCACAATTGAGAGGAAGATTCTAACTTCCAAATCAAATTTAGATCTATTTTATCACCAGGTAAATTCTTCAGATCATGTACATCTTTAGTGGATCTGATCATTCCCACTGATTACTTCATTTCAAATCAATCTTCTTTCCTCACTGCTAGTTCCCTGCATCTCCCACCCCAGGGCATCACAGGAAGAGTATGCTGTGACTACATACTCAGTTCCTCACTTCCACCCATTAGATGAAGTCATACTCAGGCACAAGTTTTACACTAATAAAACCACTGTGGTTTAAACAATTACCAAGAACACTATGGAGTGAAGTGAAAATACCTGGGTTCCAGTTCCATCCCTTGCTAACTGTAAGACCACAGGCAAATTACTTTCTCCGCCTTAGTTCCTTGAATCTGCAATACTGGAATAGCAATTCCTCCCTCTAAGGGATGTTCTGAGTTTAAAATGCTGCAAGATATCATTATAGAAAATCTGGCAAACAGTTGGCACCCAAAATTTGCCACACAGAGATCTCAGACACAAAGATACAATACCAGCACGTAAATCAGTTGAAGCAGACACAGACACACAAATCTGCAGACAGGCCCATATAACACACCAAGCTGTAGATATGCTCAGATCTGCTGGTGGTCGGCTGTCAGAGTGGTTGAGAAGAAGGAGCTCTTAAGTAACTTTGAGAAGGTCACTAAACAGCTCCTTAAAAGAAATTAACAGTTAAAGAGTTTAAAAAATAAACATAACCACAAAGAAAAATAACCACACACACACACACAACAAAAACAAAATAAAAAACATAACCAACAATACCATTATCACATCTAAGAAAACTGGCAATAATCCCCTAAATCATCAACTACCCAGTCCATATTAAGATTTTTCAACTTTTTTTTCACATTTGACTTGTTCAAACAAGGATCCAAGCAAGGTCCACCCACAATATATTTGTTATCTCTCTCTCCCTTCTCTTTGAAAAACCTCAGTCATTTGTCCAGAAGAACATATATGTTAAGAAAAAAATTCAAGTTTTTAAAACTTATTAATGCACAAGTAGTACATGAACATATTCTTGGTTATCAAAGAAGAAAAAGAAAGTAGAAGAAATCAGACATGACAGATAAAGCAAAATTCTCCCTAAACCACCTCCAACTCCAGTTCTTTAACCTGTGGAAATCTCAGTTTTCTCATCTTTAAAATGGGGAAAACCTCTCTTTTTAAGGTTGCTGTGAGTAGTAAATTATAGAGAGCTTAGAAGAGCTTAGCTCAGTGCCTGGCTCACGGTGGTCGTCCAATAATAGTCGCCTATAATGATTTTTAGTCATTGTTATCCCGGCAAAAGCAGAAGAGCCGCCCAGCCCTGCACGCGATCAGCACCC